TACCCAAACCCATCTAAGAAAATAAAAATTCTAACCCAATCTACTATCACAACCCTAGACAGTCACCAATGGGGAGGTAATGAACACAACCACCACCATCAATTTCAAAGTGAGACACTAATGTGAAATGTGTCATTTCCTAGCGCAAATTTTACCACCACTACCTTCCTCAATCACGGATTTCCACTCAAGTCGTGTCTCACACCAACCTTCGATTGGCAAAGACCACCTCCAATCAAGTCGACTGATTGAAGATTGTTGTTATCCATTGACCGGAAGCTCGTGCTTGGACCTCACGTGTGTGCACTAGCACGTGGGCCTTGCAAAATCATGTTTGTTTGACTTTTTAAACCAGGTTTGACCAAATTTACACTGGTTTTACCCCTCTTAGACCAGTTTTAGCAAGATTCCAAGAATTTTATTGGGTCTTCCTCATTTGATATCTCTTTACAAAAAATAGTATAGTGAAAAAAGTCCAAAACATGTGAAATTATAAGGAAAAAAATTAGTTATGGCTCAAAGGTGATAGAATTTACATCCTTCTTGACTATATCATTAAGCACAACTGTGTAGCTGAACTGAATTAATATCCAAAATGTTTTTCAATTTTTCAAACCGTAGCCCATTGTAGAAATAAATATAAGAAACCTTTTATTCATAAAGATTGTTATAAAATCTTGTTTCAATATTTACAGATGAGCAACTCAATCTTGTTATGCAACTACATTAGCAACCATATAGACTAACTTAGACAGATAATTTGAACATTTTATAAATTAGAAAAGTCTTGTTTCTATTCTATCATAGTACCTATAATGATCAAATCTTGTGTGATGTAGTCATGCTTACACATATTCTTCTAGGTCAACCCGACTTTACCAATATCTAATCATTTTATGCTCGGGTTAAAAAAAATAGTTTTAAAACATCTCATTAAAAAAAAGAGATGGATAAATATAAACGTCTAAATGGACCTATAGTCAACGAAGAAAATATAGAGAAGGAATCAATTGAAGTTGAAAAAATCAGAAGAATTATAATGTCTTCCTAAGAATGCTAATTTTTACTGCCTAAAGAAAGTTCTATAGAAGTTCCATGCAAGAAGGGACCTAAGTCCCTAAGCCAATGATTGAATCTAACAACGTTCAGCTCAGGGATGAAGTGTAAGTGCAAATTGGTCAATATGTTCAGTTATTCAATAAAATATTTTGAGAGTTTTTCACTTTCCGAATTAATTGTGTGATATAATTAAACTCTTTTGTATGATGTTTAAAAAACCATAAGTGTAATGTCTCGGTTTTTATCTCATAATCTCTAATTAAACAAATCAACTCTATTTGTCTTACATCAACCAACCATTCTAATACACATCAAACTTATTCATAATCTTCTTATGCTACAATGAGTTAAGTTATAAAATTAGTCACCATAACCATTTAGTCAATGGAGAGCTGAGATGGTTTACTTCATTAAATAGGAAAATGAGGAGGCAGCTTTTTGGTATAAGAAGCAACTTCAAGAAGAACTCACAATGTACAACCCAAGGAAATGAGAAAAATTATTGTCAATGCTCACCCCTTTTGACTCTAGGAGTACAAAATCCCCCAACCAACTCTTCTTTGTCTATAGGCTATGAGGTTTTGAGATTCTTATTCAAGTCTTCTCAAAATACTGTATGCCTTTTGGCTGGTGCCAAACTGCACACGGGTGGCTAAGAGTTTGTAAATCCAATAGGAAGCTTAGCATTCTTATTCCTATGCCTATCTTTTTGGATATTTTGAAAGAGAGGGAGAAAAAGGTTTTTGAGGATATTTGCCTCTGCTAGAATTAGAGATACTAGGGTCTATGTCCTTTTTATTTTGTTGATAGGGCATCATATCTTTTATGAAGAGGATTTGGAACCTTATGGATATTTGTCTTGTTTATTTATTTTCTTGTAAAATATATATATATATATATATGTATGTGGGATTACTTGGTGCTGCTTAATGATATCATTTTTCTCCTCAAAAAAGAAGTGCATGTTTTGAATGTACGCTCATGAATGCAAACCTTAATTTAAAAAAGAAAAAAAAGAGGAGAGAATGCAGACCTTAAAATGTTATCTGATAACACTAGAAATGACAAGACATGACCTAAAAACTCAATTAGCAGAAGATACAATTAGATATCACATCCAAAGCAAGATATAAAAAGATGTGAATGCAAGATACCTTATCCAATATTGCTGCCTCTTCTATACGCATAAGCTCCCTTGCCCTTAAATCCCTCAATTCATTTTCATACTTCTCCTAAGGAGGATCAAAGAGTCAATTAGAAAAGAAAAAGACGAAACAAAGACAAAAGTAATGTCATAACAATGGATAGGAGAATCATTAACAAGACATTAAACTATAAATTGCCAGAAACATTTTGAATAGTTTATGCAACCTTCAAGACTCTTTTCTCTTCAGAAAAAACATGGGCATCTAATTCAGCTTGCCTTTGCTCAGCAGCATGAATGGCTTGTAAAAAATCAAGAATCAATTTTCCATCCTTCAATAGCTGACTGTCATTCAGCTCCTCACTTGTGCTATCAAGAGCCTAACATGTCAAGCAACCACAACTGAGCATCTTTATCAGTTGAATTTCAAGGGAAATAAAACACTTGAGAAGCAAATAAGAATGATTATAACCTGTTCTTCTTTCGAAAGATGCTCACTACTTAAAAAAGCCATCTTGTCAGCATTTTCCCTTAAATGATATTCATCAAGAAGAGGGGCAGGTCTTTCTGTGCCTTGACTTACTTCCTACAAAGATAGCCACCAAAAACGGCTTTGCATTAATCTGATGCAGGAAATTCCAGCCTAAACATCCGAAGAAAAAATACGAAAGTTTTGTAATAATTAATTACAGGTGTATGAAATTCAACAACATCACTATTTTCAGCATAAATATTACTAACAGTCCAACACCTGATGCAACTGCCTCAACAATACAAAAACAAGCTTGATATTCCGAGCACATTCATTAGTTCATATAAATTGTTTTATCCTTTGAGCTCTTGTTATGCACATTGATACGTAAGATTGAATTGTCCTCTTAACTTTTCATGTTTCCAAAAGAAATAAATAACATGAGTAACCTAGGAGAGAATGATCTGAAAAATGGATATATTTCAATATTAAGAGATATTTAGATAATTATACTGTTTGTGTATGTTTAAGGGTATTTAGCTTATTTAGAAACTATTGCATACTAAGTAATTATTTTTAATAAAAAAATAAACTTTATTAAGAGAGAAGGAAACAATACAAAAAAAGCAGATAAGATATCCAACTGAAAAAGAAGCTACAAAAAACAAAGAAACAAAGAAAACAGCACAAAAGGCAAAAACGAACCACAAGTGATCATGTGATTATTGCTTTTTTATTCCTGTGAAGGACAGTAAGAGAAATATCAAAGAATTATCACCTTGGGCTATAGGGAAGCTACAAAAAGGTATTTTCTCTGACAACATATCAACCAAAAATGATTGATTAGGAAAGCCACAAAAAGGTATTTTCTCTGACAACATATTAACCGAAAATGATTGATTATCAAAAATCCCATAACATAAAGAAATATTAGTAAAACGAGTTTATTTTTTCCTATTTTAGCTAAAATATTATTTCGTTTTCTCCCCTAGCTTTAATGAATTAGTTTATTGTCCTGTCTAGTAGATTTGCAAGGTAGAGTTAAGTTTTCTTGTTTTGATTATGTTTGGAGTCTATACATCTAGGGTACCCCACAGTTTCCTTGTTATTAAAAGTTTATTATTCCAACATTTTTGTTAAAAGAAGTATTTAAAAAAAAACAAGTACATCAAGAAAGACAAAATCTCATAAAAGGATTATTACACATATATTGTTCAAATATTGTTTGATTACTAAGACATGAGATCTCTAAGTTTGGTTAGCTATTGTGTTCAAGCCCATCTTGTCCTATATCAATAGGGAAATCAGGGAAGACTTTAAGATGGATAAGTTTGATTGAAGATTAAAAAATATTGTATGTAGTTATAACAGTTATAAGTTATCATCTTTTGAGAGTTTTCTTGGAATTCCTCTGGAGAACCCATATTTGTGTTTTGCATACACTTCTAGTGTCGTGCTTTACCAAGATGAAAGACTTCCATGTTGCCTTCTATAACCAAGAAATTTTTGGTTGTGGAAATGAAGTCCTCTAATTTGGTTCGAGTGAAGAGGAGTCAAAGGTTTGAAGATAGGTAGAAATGGTAGGGTCTTTCGAGTTTTAATCATCTTCTAGGGACATCTGGTGGATCAGTTTGTTAAGTACTTGAAAGAGTTCTATTGGGAGGAAGGGAAGAGTTGTTGGTTTAAGAGAATAATTGAGAACTGAAACTCTCTCGCAAGTGGCTTTAAGTAAGAATCAAGGTGAAAATTTATTGGTTCTCATGAAAGAAGAAAGATCATCATTCTAAAGGGCCCATATGCAAGAGAATTGTTGAGAATGTTGTGCAAATGTGCGAGAGAGCCCACTTCCATTTTCCCTTCACATCCAGGGGGTCCCATGGTTTCTATGTTGCAGTGTTTCCCGATTATTTTCTTTTAGCACTTCAACCCAAAGTGGTACCTTCTAACTAGTTTAGTGGATAAGATGACTTTGCCCCATCTCACTCAAGAATGGGATGGGCGATGGCCCAGCTCTTTTTGATTTTGGACACAACACATTGGAATCTTGAAGCACTGCAAGCAAAAGCATGGTTGGCTAGGGAATCATTGAAGCTTCTAGGACAAGAAAGTGCGATATATGAGCCACCATCTTTAGATGACTTCGTGCCTCCACAAGCATAGAGGAGATCAACTTGCTTTCCATGTTGCCCTAACTACAATTTCTAGCTATGTGTGACTTTAGAGAAGAAGCAAGATTTGTTGTCTGTGGAGCTGTAAACAAGACAAGCAACAAGTAGAAGTAGGTAGAGACAATAAAGTTCTTTCACCCTCCTAATTGGGTGAATTGCGAATTAAAACCCAACTTCGCAAGGGCCTCTAAACTCAACTATTTCTAGGCCTTGGAAAGCCAGTTTCTAATAAGCTCAATCCAAATCGACCTGGCAAAATCGAAGGGGTCAGAAGGAGATTTTTTATGGAGGAAAAAGGAAAATAGGTTAAGAGGGCCAAGCCAGGGTATAGTGGCAGGTGAAATTAGGGAAAAGAAAGGGATCGACGGGGCTGGAGATCAAGGAAATGACAATGGTGTTGGAAGGTGATGTTCCGAGCTTAGACAACTTGTCAAAGGATAATTTCTTCCAATTGGCCAGAAGAGGGTAGTCGGTCATCTTTCAAAATTATGGAGGCAAACATTGGTGGCACGGGAGTTGGTGGTAAGTTAAGAGCTAATATTGAATTCAGGTGCCTAGATGTCCCTAACTGCAGCGCGAAAGGGGGAGATAGTGGCGGTTAACAGTGAGTGCTTGGGGGAAGCGGGAGTAGAGAAAAAATGGGAGTTGGTTGTGGTTGCAGGTGCTAAGGCCAGTGTTTGAGGAGAGGAAGATATTGATGACTGGGTGCTTAGCAACATTCAAAGGATTAAAAATATGTTGCGAGTGAGCTTCGATAGGTTTGCTGATCAAACTTTTGCTTTTTTTAAGGCGATAATTAGCCAAAGAAGAACAAAGGTGAATTTTAAAAACTTAAATCAGCCCAAAGAAAAAAGAGCTGGGTAGATAAAGAGGGACTAAAAAGATTTCAGATATCAATCAACTATGACAAGTCAAGCAAGGGGAAGAAGGGTAAGAAATGGGAAAATTTCAATTGTACCGATATATTAAATAGAATCATACCATGGAATGTAAAAAGTTTGAATAATGAGAAGAAGAGAAGACGATAGAAAGGTGCATGGCAAGGTGGAAACCAAATGCTATACGTCTTCAAGAATCTAAAACAAATAGGAAAGAATTTTTCGAGAGAACAAGGCAGATAAGTGGGGAGAAATCCAAAGCAGGGGTCACCCAAGGATGATTGGTGGTTGTTAGGAAATATTCACTAAATATGAAAGTATATCTTCATATCAGGATAAAAGTTATACTAGTAAAATATCCATATATATAAATGTGTGTTTCCTTTTATTACCTTAAGAATATGTAGAGCCCTCTGATTCAATAATACATACAATATTTATTTTTCTCATGGTATTAGAATTATAGGAAAAATATCTTAACCTTCTTCAAAAACCTTAAATTGACTTTTATTGCCAAAAGACAAAAAGAAAAATCCTAAATCCACTTTCTTAATATTTTGGGCCCAATAATTTGTTTCTTTTAAGGCAAGGGGATCCATTATCCCCATTGCTCTTCATTATTGTAATGAAAGCACTTAATGGCTTACTAACAAAGGTTTTAGAGCTTCAACTAATTAGAGGTGTAAAGATGGGCAGTGCTGATAATTCCATTGTGGTTTCCCATCTATTTTTCGCCGATGATATATTAATTTTCTATCAACCGGACGTTGGGGTTCTAAGGCACTTAAGCTGCACCTTACTATTCTTTCAAGTTGTATCATGGCTGAACATCAACTTGTGTAAATCGGAAATGGTGAGATTGGGTGATAGAGGCGATGAAACTAGGCTGTCTAAGGTTTTGGACTGCAAGCTGGTTAGCCTTCCAATAAATTATTTGGGCCTCCCCCTAGGGGCCAAGTATAAGGATACGAAATCTTGGGAGCTCATCATTGAAACTTTTGTTTGAAGAATAGCAGGGTGGAAAAGAAATTTTTTATTCAAAGATGGTAGATACACTCTCATCCAAAGTACCCTAAGCAATCTCCCAACTTATTACTTATCCACCATCACAATACCAATTAAAATTGCTAAAAGGCTAGAGGTCATCCAGTGTAGATTTTTGTGGGGTGATGAAGAAGGTAACAAAAAATAGCACTTGGTTAATTGGGCTGAAATTAAAAATCCTCTTAACAAAGGGGACTTGGGCATTAAATCTCTGCCTCAGTTGAATATTGCTCTGAATGCCAAATGGATATGGCGGTACTTACAGGAAGAGGACATACTTTGGAGAAGGGTAATCTGGGTAAGATGGGGTGATCTATTTAACAGAAATGGTAATGGCAGAATTAACAAACAACATGACCTGGGGCTATGGAGAAAAATCCTGATGGACTGACACCGTTTTAAAGCTGTATTCAGTGGAAGATTGGCTGTGGGGATAAAATTAAATTCTGGAAAGATGTGTGGATTGAGGGGGGCTGCCTCATGAGCTGCTTTCCTAAAATTTTTGAAATTTCTCAGTCCAGGAACATGGTGGTTAAGGAAGCCTACAAAGAGATTAATGGCAGCCGGATTTGGGAGGTGATTGTATACAGAAACTTAAAAGATTGGGAGGTACAAAATTACATAAACCTGTTGAATTTGCTGGAAATGCAGAAGCTGAAGGAAACAGAGAACAAGGTGATCTGGAAATTGAGTCAGAATAGACAGTTCTCGTCTAAAATCCTATTATCTCTACCTTAGAGAAGGAAGGGCTGCTTTAGCTTTCAAATTCCCCACTAAGCAGATCTGGAAGTTAAATGTGTCCCCACGGATTGCTTTTTGTGCTTGGGAAGCCAGTAGAGAATATATTTTAACTATTGATAAGCTGATGAGGAGAGGATACCACATGGCAAACCCATGTTATTTATGTATGAATGCGGCAGAATCATGCAATCACTTACTCTTATGGTACCCGGTGACTTATGAGCTGTGGAGTATGGTTTATAGTCTTCGTGGGATGAAGCGGGTAATGGCTGGAATTGCTAGGGAGGAATTATGGGCTTGGGATGGTATGGGAAAGGATAATGTTCGTTGGGTATAATTTCCCTAACAGTTTTATAGGTTATTTGGAAAGAAAGAAATCTTAGGGCCTTTGATGGAAAGGAAAACCCGATGTATAGATTAAGAGATAGGTGATTTCATGTTTTTTGGTCTATGTTCATGGAGCATGACATTGTTAGAGATGAGAATTTTGAATTTATCAATGATACCCGAACTAGAACGTAAACAATTGTACATGGGCGGTACCCCCTTTTTTGGTGCTTACGAATATGTACTTCTTAACATTTTATTTCAAAAAAAAATAATAATTTGTTTCTTTTATGGATGATTGCATTAGAATAACCTGACATTTCTTTTGTTAAAACCCAAATATGAAAGTAGTCATATTATTTTTCAATTTCACAACATGATCAAAATCTAGTTTGGAGTGAAAATCAAATGTTTTCAAACCAATAATATCTGCAACTACTTTAACCAAACAATATCCCCATTTTATCGAAGTGAATAGATCATTCATGGGTCTTCCTGTATCTATACCCCACAAGAAAACAAAGTGGTAAAACAGAAAGATAGTCACCTGCTTACAGTGACATGGGTTCTCTTGTTACAAAACCATATGCCCAAGCACTAGTAGGAAGAAGTTGCTTTGACCGCAACCATCTTACCAACAAGTTAGCATCTTAGTACTAAACTTGCATAACCCTGTGGAAGCTCTAACTACTCTATTTCATGAGCTTCGAACAATCAATAACCTTATTCCTCGAGTTTTTGCTTGTGCTACTTATGTTTACATACATCAATCTCAATGAAGGAAACTTGACCTTGTTCAAATGTGTGTTTGTAGGGTACTCGCCTATTAAAAAAAGATATAGATGTTATCATCCTCCCATTCAGAAATTCTATATATTTGTTGATGTTACTTTTATAGAAATTGAGTCTTTTTCTATTAAACCTTATCTTCAGGGGGAGAGCATATTAGAAAATGAGGATTCATTTCTTTTTTATATTTCCTCTTAAATACTACATCTTCTGAAAAAGTAATTACCACATAAAAAAAAAAATAGAGACCACAAGATACACCTAAAAGAACATACCATCACAAGACACACTTGAACTCATACCACCAGAAATCTAAAACCAAGAAAATGAACTAGAATCCTCAATCATATAAGACCCATGGTTCTCTCAGTACTCAAGAAGAGAAAATGCACTTAACATTAAATCTACTCGGTCTCGAACTTTTATTATAAAAATGTTCTCCATCTCACAAAAAGTAACTAATGAGTTTAAATACAGTAACTATTCCTAATAAATTATCTGAGACTTTAACCAATAGAGAATAGAAAAATACTATGAAAGTTGAAATGCAGATTCTGGAGAAAAATTAAACATGGGAAGTGATGGATTTACTCAAAAAAAAAAACCACTTGAGTGCAAATGGATATTCACTATAAATTATGAACCTAATTTGAAGGTTTGAAGAATGGAAAATCCTCTTCTACTTGTCTTAATTTCATTCTTGATTGTACTACAATTTATAGAAAATAAAGCAACAAAAATAATAACTTCCTAACAAATCTTCCTAATAAATTTATGGGGAGAAGAAATTGCAGAAATGGTTATAACCATTCTGAGATTCTCTCCACTAGGCAAAAGAGAAAAGAAACAAATTTATTTATCTATATTTTCTACACTCCACCTCAATCTAGTTTACATAAATGTTAAGTAAACCTAGATTGGATATAATGTTATCAAAGGTTCCTCTTGGTAGAGTTTTTGTTAGGATGTTCGCAACCTATTGACTTATTGAGATATGCATAAGGATTATAGTTCCATCTTCCAATTTTTTCTTGTTAAAATGTCAATCGATTTCTACACGCTTAATTTGGTCATGATGAACTAGATTCTTGTCCATACTAATGGTTGATTGGTTATCACACCAAACTTTAATAGAGGTACCATCATAACCTTTTAGTTCTATAAGTATCATTTTCAACCACACTCCTTCACATATTCCATGAGCAAGTGCTCAGAATTCAGATTCTGCACTGCTACGAAATACAACAGACTGCTTTTTACTACGCCAAGTTAGTAGATTGCCCAGACATAGGTACAGTATCCTGATGTAGATCTTCTGTCAGTTACTGATCCTGCCCAATCAGCATCAGTGAAGATTTCAATATCCTTTTTTTCTATTTTCTAAAAGAACAATCTTTAATCTGGGGTCATCTTTAAGTATCTCAAAATTCGATATGCAACTGTCATGTGCTCCTCAGTTGGTTGATTCATGACTGTACTAACTACAAAACTGACGTCAGGTCTGGTGTGTGCTAAATAGATGAGTTTGCCCATCAGTTTTTGGTACCTTTCTTTATCAAGTTTTTTATCACTAATGTCGAATCCAAGTTTTACGGTCGGATCCATAGGTGTATTAGCAGGTTTACTTCCGAGCATTCCGGTCTCTTTCAGGAGATCAAGAACATATTTTCGTTGTGATACTGAAATTTCCTTTTTTGATCAGACTACTTCCATACCAAGAAAGTATTTCATCATTCCAAGATTTTTAATTTCAAACTCTTTAGCTAGGGATTCCTTAAGTCTCTGAATTTCCTCAATGTCATCTCCTGTCAAAATAATGTCATCTACATAAACAATAAAGATAGGTTTTTTTACTTGAGATGCAGTGTTTAACAAAAAGTGTATGATCTTATTGGCATTGCCCATACCCTTCTTGTTTTACTGCCTTTGTGAACCTGTCAAACCAAGCTCTTGGAGATTGCTTCAAACCATATAGTGACTTTTTGAACTTATACACTTTTTTAGGATCATAAATTAGTTCACATCCTGGTAAGATATCCATGTATACTTCTTCTTTTAGGTCACCATTCAGAAACGCATTCTTTACATCTACCTGATAAAATGGTCAATCAAGGTTAGAAGCAAGTGACAGTAATACCCGGATTGTATTATACTTGGCTACTAGAGCAAATGTTTCTTGATAGTCTATCCCATAAGATTGAGTAAAGCTTTTTGCTAATAGGCGAGTCTTGTATCGATTTATACTCCCATTAGGATTGTATTTTGTTGTAAAGACCCACTTGCATTCAACCTGACGTTTTTCTGTGGGCAGATCAGTTAACTCCCATGTCTCATTTTTCTCAAATGCTCTAATCTCTTCCTGGATGGCAGCTTTCCATTCCAGTATTTCCAGAGCTTCATGAATAGACTTTGGCTCTAGTGAATTACTGTCTAGTCTGCACACAAAGGCATGATGTTCTGAAGAGAACTTACCAAATGAGATATAGTCTTGTATCGAATGTTTGGTGCATGTTCGAGTCCCTTTTCTCAAAGCTATAGGCAATTCATTGTCAATATCAGTAGCAGGGATAAATGTCTCATTACCTGTAAATTTCTGAGTACCTGGAGCCGGAACAGATTCATGGCAAGGCTTGTCTGATTCAGGTGCCTTCCCTCCTTGGTTTTTGTTCCTTCTAGTGTAGACACGTAACTCATTATTTGCAGAAAATGTATGTTCTGCTCTTGACACTGGCTCAGGTTCTTTCTGTGTGGTTTTTAGTGAAGTATTGGTGATAGGTTCAGGTTTCAGGGGGGGATGAATAGAGAGGAGGTATACTAACATCCCACAACTGATATTCCTAAGAAACGTTTTCCCCCTGAATATCAATTGTGGAATAAAAGGGTTGATTTTCAAAAAATGTAACATCCATGGTGTTATAGAATCGATGTGTACCTGAAACTAGGCACTTATATCCTTTCTGATGGGCAGAATAACCAACAAAGATGCATTTTACAACCCATGGAACAAGTTCCCTCGAAGATGTGGGTGAATAAGAGCATATGTAGAACACCCAGAAACTTTGAGTGGTAGGCTATTTAGGATATAGAATTCAGGAAAGGTTTGTGAGAGTAATTTATATGACTGAAAATTGAAAATACAGGAAGGCATCCAATTTATCAAGTAGCAGTGAGTATAGCCTCTCCCCAAAGAAATTTTGGAACGTGGGTGGTAAACATGATTGATCGAGCAACCTCCGGGATGTGTCGGTTTTTCCTTTCAGTTATACCATTTTGTTGTGGAGTATGGGCACACGAGCTTTGGTGAATAATGCCATGATCAGTGAAATATTTCTCAAGAGAGGTTTCAAAATATTCACATGCATTATCGGATTTTAAAACTTGGAATATTAGTATGAAATTGTGTTTGGATCATGATATTGAATTTTTTGAAAATAGGTCCAATCTCATATTTTTCTCTCATAAGAAATATCCAAGTAATTCTTGTATGATTATCAATAAAGGATAAAAACCACCTAGTTCTGGTAATATTAGTGACTCGGGAAAGTCCACATACATCGCTATGAATTAATATGAATGGTTCAGAAGATTTATATGGTAAACTAAGAAAAGAATTGCGAATGTGTTTTAAAAATTGACATACTTCACATTGAAATGAAACAGGATCTTTATTCTTAAAGAGTAAAGGAAAAAATCTTTTTAGATAAACGGAATTTGAGTGCCCTAATCGATAATGCCATAACATGATATTTTAGTCATTATCTGAATGACTTATAGAAACAGAATTTGCACATACTACATTTTGAGTTTGTCCCCTAGAAGTGTCTGCTTGAAGAAGGTATAGTCCTGAAATCATCCTAGCATTGCCAATCATCTTCCCCGAGTCCAAGTCCTGAAATTCACACAAATTAAAGACAAATTTAGTAACACATTTTTACTTTCCACAAAGCTTGCTCACTGATAACAAATTACAATCTAATTTTGGCACATAAAAGACTGATGAAGTGTTAAATTTGGAGATAAAATTACGGAGCCACATCCAGCCACTTTGGAGACAGACCTATCAGCAACTTTAATCAAAATATTTTCTTCAAATTTGCTGTAATTTTGGAGCAGTGACACATCTCCGGTCATATTATCCAGTCATATTATCCGACACTCCAGAATCAACCACCCAAACCTGTTTTGCTGAACACATAGATAAATCATGAATTTTACCTTTGTGTGCCACTGATGCGTTGATGGGAGACTGATAATTTTTCTAGGTCAAAATCTTCTTAAGTGCTTCTAGCTACTTGAGGTTAAAGGGGCTACTATCCACAGAACTCAGAGAGGCTTCTCCAGCAGACGCATGACTGCCATGGTGGTCGGTTTCTGGTCTGGGCGACTTTTGGTCGGCTAGTCTTCCATGGAGCTTCCAGCATTTGTCGCGGACATGGCCAGGCTTTTTGCAGTGGTCGTACCAAGGCCAACCTTTCTTCTCCCTCAGGTCCTGAGTTCTCGTCGAGAGTGCAGAAGCGTTTTCGACATATTGAGTGAGTTGCGCATCACCCATCATCACTCTTCTTCAGCTTTCTTCTAGTCGAATCTCATAGAAGAATTCGCGGATGCTAAGTAATGTTTTGATGCTAAGCACCCTTCCTCGGACTTCATCAAGGTTGCTGTTCAAACTCAATAGAAATTTGAAAAGACATTTCTCCTCCACAAATGACCGAAAATTTCTGACGTCCTAGGGACAGTCCCATCTCCTTTCTTCGAAGGCATCAAGTTGCTGCCAGCTACAAGATAAAAGATTATAATACTGAGTTAAATTTAGCTCATTTTGTCTCAGTTAGTGAAGGGTGGACTCGATTTCAAAGATAGCTTATGTATTTTCCTCGCTGGAGTATAGTTCCCGAGCTGTCTCCCAAATTTCCTACGCAATCTCGTAGAGGAGTTTTTTTGTGATGTCGGACGTCATCGAGCTTATGAGCCACGACATCACCATACTATTGTCAATCATCCATATTCGAGCAGTTGGGTCATTTGCCGATGAAGGTAAGAGTTCACCAGTGAGATACTTTTCGCGACCTTTGCATCGGATGAAGAGTAATATTGACGACGACCACTGAAGGTAATTGCTACCATTCAACTTATGCCCAGTGAGGAGTGATGAGGATGGTTCAGCCAAGCCATGGCTAGTAGGAGAAGGATGGTAAAAGCCCGATAAAATTTCAAGTGGAGAAGAAGGTAGTTCTCCCGAGGCCATTTTTTACTGCGGCTCAATCAAGATGATTCTCCTGGATCAGAGTCGCTCTGATATCATGAAGGTTTGAAGAATAGAAAATCCTCTTCTACTTGTCTTAATTTCATTCTTGGTGGTGCTACAATTTATAGAAAATAAAACAATAAAAATAACAACTTTCTAACAAATCTTCCTAACAAATTTATGGGAAGAAGGAATTGCAAAAATGGTTATAACCATTCTGAGATTCTCTCCACTAGGCAAAACAGAAAAAAAACAAATTTATTTTCCTATATTTTCTACATAGTTAGTCTATAGAGAGATACAAGACAAGATTGGTGGTCAAATGATATACCCAAACTTATGGAAATAATTACCAGGAGATTTGCACTAGTGGCAACAAATGACACCAGTGATAAAAAATAAATATGGTACACATCACGTTATCCTTAGTTGCAAATTAATTGACAGTTACAATAGTTCAATAAAAGAATGTTTTTCTATATGGAGAATCAAAAGAAGAGATCTTTATGATAATCCCACCTAGGTTTACCAAGGACACAAAGGTAAATCAAGTGTGCAAATAAAAAATGCATTGTTGTGGATTCAAGCAATTTCCAAGAGCATAGTTTAGAAGATTTGCAAGGGTTATGCTAGTTGTGGTTACAGATAGTGTCAAAGAGTATTACACATTCTAATTCAAAGAGAGTCACAGTGGATGACATAATTGTGACAAGTAATAATGAAAGAAAGAAAACAATGCTCAAGCAATATCTGACCAGAAAATTTGAAATCAAAGAACTAAAGAAGTTAAAATACTTTCTTCTGATAGAAATAACCTACTTTAAAGTAAGGATCTTTATTTTACAATAGAAGTATGTCAATTACTTTTTGAAAGAGACATGGCAAGTTGACATGTAAACCCGTTGATATCCCGATGGATTCTAAACACAAGCTAGGATTAGCGGAAAAAGATCCGAATATTATAAGAAAATATACTAAAGACTAGTTGTTAATCTATTATATCTATCACACACCAGAAGATATCGCCTATGAACTAAGCATGAAAAGTCACGTGCACAATTCCAAGGAAAAGAATTAAAGAAATAATCAATTGATTATTGAAACTTACCCTAATGCAAACTATATAGAATCATCAGTTGACAAAAAGTTCACCACTAGTTATTGTACTTTCTTGGGAGGAGACCTGGTCAAGTAAAGAAGAGAAAAACAAAATGTGGTAGCCCAATCGAATGCAGAGTCAAAATTCTACGCAATGGCTCACGGGTGAGGGAACTTTTATGGTTGAAAATGATCTTGGAAAACTTGAAAATAGAATGAGAATATCCTGTAAGACTCTACTGCAATAACAAGTCAACAATTAGTAAAGCACACTATATACTACAGCATGAACCAAGCATATCAAAGTCGACAAACACTTTATCAAGAAGAAACCAAATAGTGGTGTGATTTCCACACTATACATGTCTACCACCTCACAACTTGCTAATGTGCTAACTAAAGGGTTGATTAATCCCGAATTTCATAAGATAATTTCCAAATTTGGGCATATACAATATCCATTTATCAGCTTGAGGGGGAATGTTGGGAAATATTCAGATTGTTGTTCTAGCAAGATGTTTGGTTAAAGCAACCACTAGCTTTTCAATTCCATCAGGTAAATAACCCATCTCGTAGATACAATTTCCACATTTCATCCTTTACAATCATAATTGAAGGTAAATTGTGATGAAACCTCCATTTTAGCCGAAATCTTTCTAAATAAGGAGAGTGATTTCAGGACCCGGTTTGGACATGTGATTCACCAAAACTGGAAATTGAAAAAAAAATATTAAATCTAAGTAATTTTGGGGTAATTTGGAGTAATTAAAAGAAATATAATATGGGACATAATTGGAATTTCATAAAAGAAAAGAAGAGTTATTGGAAAGAGAGAAGAGAGTGTGTCGAGGAGAGAGAAGGAGAGAGTTCGAAAGAGAGAGTGGTCTTTAGAGAGAGAAAGAGAGAGAATACAGCGACGAGAAAGAGAGAGTAGTTTTTGAGAGAGATTGGTTTTAGAGAGAGAAAAATATTGTTAGAGAGAGCAAGAAGTTGTTAGAGAGAGGACAGGAGAGAAAGATTAGGAGAGAAATGGAACCCGAAAGAGAAGAAAGAGAAAATAATATGAGATTTTATTACTTGAATCCAATTCGTGCGGATTTTTCCCCCAACTAACGAAGAGATCTTGGCGGAATTGCCACATATGAAATTGAGCACAATTTTGCAAAGAAATAGCCCACTTGTTTTTCAAAAAAGAGATGGGAAACATGCTCAATATCATTTGATTGAATAGTTGACCCAACTCCTTGTTGTTTGAAGAAACTCTCTACTTCAATTGGTATTTTTTCACGAAAAGCAAACATGACAACAAATTCAGTCTTTCACTAAGATTTCGAATAGCTGTCCCGAATTCAGTATATACATTGTTCAATCCACATTCACTTATTTATAGACATGAATCGATACAAATATCTTCATTTGGGTTCTTCAAATGTCATCGGAAGCCACTGTTCAAAGCTGGGGACGCGTTGATCAAAGGAAGAAGATGAACAAGCTTGAGTCCGTTCAAGTCTGAAGAAGGAGTGGTTCAACGAAGAAAGTTAGCTCGATTTAGAGCGGTCTATTGTTTCATATTCTATTTATTAAATATATATTCTTGCATATAGTTTCTAACAATTCCCTTCCTATGAGAATTAACCTTGTTCTCAAGATTAAGATACAACTTTAAAACATTTGGTGTCAAACGATATTATTACTATTTATTATATTTTATATTATATATAAATATTTATATTATATATATTTATTATACTAGAGAAGAGCTTCATGTTGATCTTTTGCATTATTCTTCTGCTTGCCATCTGGAGATTGATCTTTTTCACTTTTTTCTGCTTTTTCATCACGTCTCTATTGCAATGACTACTTTTTCATTACACCGATGCCTTGGAGAATATTATTTCCCACATCTGTAGCAAAGATTTCTCCTCAATTCTGTATAATTTAGGCTCTTCAGGGTATTATTTCTTGAAAATTTTGAATTTTAGCAGAATTTTCAATGACGAAAACACTAGCTTTAGAAGTTGTAGAGTGCTTTGGCTTATTGTGCCGGTTGATGGCATCTACTGCTTGTTCTTACCATAAAACCAACTCAAATGCTTGAGTCAAGGTGCATGGTCTATGCATCCTTACTGTTGGTCGAAGTTCATCCTTCAAACTACTTGTAAAACTGGAAATGAAATATTTTTTAAAAAGTCCAGGGTTCTTTGTTAATAACAGGGGGCCTCATTTCTTCAAATTTTTTTTGATACTGGAAGACGGTATCTTCCTAAATTAATTTGTCAAATTCTTCAACAATATCAATTTTGACTAATCCTCCAAACCTTCTACACAATTCCACCTCGAATACTTCTCATTCAAACATATTTGGATTATTTGCTAACCCATGAAACCATATTTTTGTCTTGTCTCCAATATACAATGAGGTTGTTTCCACTTTACTTCTTTCTGAGATGTTCAAGACATAAAAATACTTGTTGCATCGTCTTATCCATGTTTTAGGATTTTATCCATCCCCGGATCGGTTACCCCTCTTATCTGAACTACCAACCCCAATTTCTTTGGTTCTCAGA